TTATTATCCACCCAAGATACCTAGATCCTTTTTGCATTCAGTGCTCTCTCATAAGAGCTCTTTCGTGTCTTGATTTTTCCTTCCCAAATGTAGGGCCTGTTCAAATTCATCTTGTTGATTTCTGTCAACTGTCCCAGCTTGTCAAGATCCACCTAAATCTTGAAATCATTGTGGGGGGAAATAGCCAGCTGAAGGATGCTGAACCTTGCATCATACAATATAAAATAAAGGCAGGATGTGAATCTTGTATTAAATAGTGCCCCAAGGCTCTGATTTTTTTTTTTTTAAATTTGATTTATATGCCGCCCTTCTCCGGAGACTCAGGGTGGTTTACAATGCGTTAAGCAAAAGCCTTCACACTTTTGTATATTTATACAAAGTCAGCTTATTGCCCCCACAAACTGGCTCCTCAATTTACCTACCTTAGAAAGGATGGAAGGCTGAGTCAACCTTGAGCCTGGCAAGATTCGATCTTACTTTAATTGTAGACAGCTGGTGTTAAATTACAGTGCTTCTGTCTGTTGAGCTATCCAGGCTCCTGGGTTTTAGGCCCAGGACTCTTCAACATCTTCATCAATGACTTGGATGAGGGGATAGATGGAGAACTCATCAAATTTGCAGATGACACCAAACTGGCAGGAATAGCCAACACTCCAGAAGATAGGCTCAAGGTACAGAAGGATCTTGACAGACTTGAACATTGGGCGCTATCTAACAAAATGAAATTCAACAGTGAAAAAAGCAAGGTTCTACATTTAGAGAAGAAAAACAAAATGCACAGGTACCGTATATGTGGTACCTTGCTCAATAGTAGTAACTGTGAGAGGGATCTTCGAGTCCTGGTGGACAACCATTTAGATATGAGCCAGCCATGTGCTGCAGCTGCCAAAAAAGCCAACACAGTTCTAGGCTGCATCAACAGAGGGATAGAATCAAGATCACGTGAAGTGTTAATACCACATTATAATACCTTGGTAAAGCAACACCTGGAATACTGCATTCAGTTTTGGTTGCCACGATGTAAAAAGATGTGGAGACTCTAGAAAGAGTGCAGAGAAGAGCAACAAATATGATGAGGGGACTGGAGGCTAAAACATATGAAGAATGGTTGCAGGAACTGGGTATTTCTAGTTTAATGAAAAGAAGGACAAGGGGGTGACATGATAGCAGTCTTCCAATATCTCAGGGGTTGCCCCAAAGAAGAGGGAGTCAAGCTATTCTCCAAAGCACCTGAGGGCAGGACAAGAAGCAATGGGTGGAAACTAATCAAGGAGAGAAGCAACCTGGAACTAAGGAGAAATTTCCTGACAGTGAGAACAATGAATCAGTGGAACAACTTGCCTCCAGAAGTTGTGAATGCTCCAACACTGGAAGTTTTTAAGAAGATGTTGGATAACCTTTTGTCTGAAGTGGTGTAGGGTTTCCTGCCTATGCAGGGGGTTGGACTAGAAGACCTCCAAGGTCCCTTCCAACTCTGTTATTCTATTCTATTCTAAATAAATATCATTCTCTGGTCCACAAGGTTCATAATCATATTGTATAGTTTGAGTAATTTATTAATGGGGTGAAAAAGAACAACCACAATAGATTAGTGGATTGTTTTCCCTCTAGCTTGAGGTAGAACCAGTAATATATTTTCCCCCCTCTTTGCTACGATTGCTTGATCAGATCTGCCTCCATCTCAAGACATGGGTGCAAGTATTTTGTCTTCTCTGCTACAAAGATTTAATGGGAGATATTGTCAAATGCTTTGCCGAAGACAAGATACACTATCTTCACTCCATTCCTGCAGCCGACTAAAGAGGTCACTCTATCAAACAAGGAAATGTGGGTTAGTCTGACATGAGGGTTCTTAATGAAGCATGTTGGCTAACACCAAGCTGTGCCTTCTTGTCTAAATGCTCACAAACAAATAATGCTGTTGCCTGGTCTTCATGTCAGGCTGATCAATTTGTAGTTACTAGGATCTTCCTTCCTTCCTTCCTTCCTTCCTTCCTTCCTTCCTTCCTTCCTTCCTTCCTTCCTTCCTTCCTTCCTTCTTTCTTTCTTTCTTTCTTTCTTTCTTTCTTTCTTTCTTTCTTTCTTTTCCTTCCTTCCTTCCTTCCTTTCTCTCTCTCTCTCTCTCTCTCTCTTTCTTTTTTAACTTTCTCTATTCTTTTGTGTTGTGCCCTACCTTTACAATTTCCCAAAAGTCACAGAAATGACCTCTGAAGGGACAAATGGAAGCTTTATTTATTCTGAAATAAAATTGCTCTGGTTAGAATAGAATAGAGTAGAGAAGAGTAGAGTAGAGTAGGTTAGGGTAGGGTAGGGTAGGGTAGGGTAGGGTAGGGTAGGGTAGGGTAGAGTCGAGTCGAGTCGAGTCGAGTCGAGTCGAGTCGAGTCTCCCCTCTGGCAGCTGAATCAGAGGAGGAAGACGAGACATGGGAGTCAGGATCAGCAGCAAGGCAATCTGAGAACTCTGAGGGGGAAAGGGAAATGGAGCTGTCAGAGAGACAGATGCAGAGCCTGGGCTGTCCATCAGCCCTCAGATGGAGAATCAACAGCCCCCAGGTCTGGAGGTGGCTGATGAGGAAGAGGAGGAACAGCTGGGTCCAGTGCCTGATGCGCAGATCTGCAGAAGACAGAGGAGAGGAGAGCAGTGGAAATCTATGGGCTGATCCTTGGGACAAAAGAGCCACCACTGCTAGGGAAGCCCCACCGTAGCTCTGGGGATAAAAGGCAGGGGGTGGAGATGAATAGGTGTTACAGACAACTATTTGTCTCCCTGCTGCACAGACTTGTTAGCCTGTTGTGTGTGAGAGAGAAACTTTTTGCCAGGGCTGCTGGCGCTCCTAATAAAGGGAACATTTATTTAACTACAAAGGGTTTGTTGTGTTTGGGAGCTTGAAGTGTCTGTTGTGAAAACATTTTGCTTGAACCTGATTGATCATTGGAAGGGGAGGGCTCAGGGATGGCAGGCAGTTAAAGGACAGAAAAGTTGAATTTATTTATTTATTTATTTATTTATTTATTTATTTATTTATTTATTTATTTATTTTTCGTATTTCTATGTTGCCCAACTCTCCGAGGACTCTGGTCGGCTTACAACAAAGACAGTATAAACAATATACACTAAGAGACATTAAAAACCCATACACACCACTCATGGCCAGATCTCGCAAGATCGCAGTGGTGAGATCAACAGCCCCAAGCCTGCTGGCACGCGATTCTCAGTTCTGGCGATGCATTACTTTAATACAACTTGACTTCTAATAAAACTCTACCTTTCTCAAGGGACCAAGGATCGCTACTATTTAAAGGTTTACATCGTGGCAGGTCTGATAGCAGCCGTTCCAAATACATGCCTAGAATGTTGTAATCGTGGGACCATTTGTTTGCTGCGATGGTCATTAAGTGTGAAAACCTGTCATAAGTCACTTGTCAGATTTCGATGTCATCTCAAATAAATTGCACTCCCAAACAGTTAATCTTTGCTGAAATATTCCATTTATTGAGTATGACAGATCTGGCCCCAACTTCGTCATAGCCGATACTAACCCTCTGACCCCCAAATCCTTCCCTTTCCGTTCCCCAATTCTCATCTTCTCATTGGCCATCTTCCAAGTCAGTCTCCCCAGCTTCTGACCTCAACCCACAGGAATGTCCCCTCTCAGGTTTCATTGCTATCTTAAATAAACTTCATTCTCAAACGCAAGGTCTCTAATGAATCTTTTTTTTTTTATTTAAGAATAGGAGAACAACATCCCTGAACTCTGTGTGTGCAGCCAAAACTGGCACCTCCTTCCAAACCCCTCCCTTTCCGTTCCTCAACCCCAATGTCTCATTGGCGATCGTGCAGATCCATCTCTTCGTCCCAAGCACTTTCTTTTCACAGGAATTTCCCCCCTCCCTCTGTCACCCAGGTAACGCTATCTACTGAAGAGCAGGGAACTAGGTAAAAGTTCATCTCAGCATTAAAGCAAAGCTTCTCCCTCTTTCATTCATTCATGTCAGCGCTGAAGGAGATCATAATTTGGAACGCGGACATCCCCCCTCCCATCCCATCTCCTAGGGGATATTATCTACAGAGAAAATAAGTAGGTGAAAAGTCAAGCCTCGTCTCCTCCTCTTTATGGCAGCATCAGAATGATGACATCACTTTTTTTTAGTGCCATTGTAACTTCAGTCACTACACGAATGGTTGTATTTGTACCTGTGACCAGAGGTGGTATTCAGCCGGTTCGGACCAGTTCGGGTGAGCTGGTAGCGGCGACTGCAGGTGGGCCCACCACCAGCCTGGATGTCGCCTTGACGTAATGCCATCCTATTTAGCCACATTTTGGAGGCCAGGCTCATGCGCGTAAGGCACATGTGTGAGCAAAGCGCATGCATGTAAGGCATGCATGTGCGAAGCAAGCGTGCAGAAGTCCAGGCACATGTGCAGAAGGCACGCGTGAGCAAAGCAAGCACGCACACATACGGCGAACCGGTGGCAACAATATGTTGCCTGCCTCTGACATTTAAGCAAAGCAAATTTGTCCACCCTCTATCACTGTTTTTGCCATGTATGTGGAGTTTTGGACAAAGAGACAGAAGTGGGCTTTGGACTGTTTATTTTGGAAGCAGGCAAAATATTTTTATTTATGTTTGTGAGCGTGCACTTTTGTGAGTGTGTGATGTCAGTCATTTCCTTTATCTAATCTATTCCAAATAAACAAGAATGAAAGAAGACTTTATATTTGCAAATACAAAATTCAGCTTATGAATAAACATAAAGGCAGCAACCAGAGTTTTTGAATGCAGAACTATCAGCACTAAAAACCTATAGACTTTCTAATACCTATTTTTCCATCAGTTATGAGGTTTGCGCCCTCTGTACAATTTTTTAAAATCTGCAATATTATGATATACTATCTGAGAAGTAATTGGAAAACCTACTTTCATGATGGTGTCTCTCATATGGAAAGGGCTCCAGAGTATACCTGTGTGTTTTTCAGAAGCTCTCTTTGGCAACCTGAATGACAAGGTAGGTAAATACCAAGTCCAGGCCATACAGCCGACCTGACATTATCTACTCATTGCTTAGTTCACACTAAGTCTTGCTCCTGTTTGCTTGAACTAACACTTTCTTCATGCAAGGTTTTTAGTTACCTGGATAGGAAAGCATGATGGTTTGTTATGCTATCACAGTCATAGTTGGAGCAGTCACTTTGTTTCCGAGGCAATGGTTGTCTGGGCTCTTCATTCTCCATTATTCCTGAGATATCAATATTACTTTTGCTGAGGCGCTTGAGGTCTTCTAGATTTGAATCTTCAGCTGAAACAGGTTTATCCTAGAGAAAATTTATTTATATGTCTGTTTATTTTAAAGGGGAAAATTACTCTGATGATACACATGAAGGGGCTGTAGTGTTGATACATTTTTCATTCCAAAGTTTACTGCAATCAACAACATGAAGTTAGTTTTTAAAACTAACATATTGTTGATTGCAGTAAAACTTTGGGAATGAAAATTGTATCAACACTACAGCCCCTTCATGTGTATCATCAGAGTATTTTCCCCTTTAAAATAAACAGACATATAAATAAATTTTCTCTAGGATAAAACCTGTTTCAGCTGAAGATTCAAATCTAGAAGACCTCAAGCGCCTCAGCAAAAGTAATATTGATATCTCAGGAATAATGGAGAATGAAGAGCCAGGACAACCATTGCCTCGGAAACAAAGTGACTGCTCCAACTATGACTGTGATAGCATAACAAACCATCATGCTTTCCTATCCAGGTAACTAAAAACCTTGCATGAAGAAAGTGTTAGTTCAAGCAAACAGGAGCAAGACTTAGTGTGAACTAAGCAATGAGTAGATAATGTCAGGTCGGCTGTATGGCCTGGACTTGGTATTTACCTACCTTGTCATTCAGGTTGCCAAAGAGAGCTTCTGAAAAACACACAGGTATACTCTGGAGCCCCTTCCATATGAGAGACACCATCATGAAAGTAGGTTTTCCAATTACTTCTCAGATAGTATATCATAATATTGCAGATTTTAAAAAATTGTACAGAGGGCGCAAACCTCATAACTGATGGAAAAATAGGTATTAGAAAGTCTATAGGTTTTTAGTGCTGATAGTTCTGCATTCAAAAACTCTGGTTGCTGCCTTTATGTTTATTCATAAGCTGAATTTTGTATTTGCAAATATAAGTCTTCTTTCATTCTTGTTTATTTGGAATAGATTAGATAAAGGAAATGACTGACATCACACACTCACAAAAGTGCACGCTCACAAACATAAATAAAAATATTTTGCCTGCTTCCAAAATAAACAGTCCAAAGCCCTCCCAGAAGCTAAATTGTTTCCTGGTTGGTGAAAGTAAACCTGCTTCTCTCCTGCCTCCTGTGTTGAAATTTTGTCCAGAAATGCACCCATTCCCAATTTTATACATTGATTTACTTACCAATATATTTGCAACCCTTAAACATATTACAGGTATGGTCGTCCTCAACCTATGATCACAATTGAGCCCAAAATTTATGTTGCTAAGTGAGAATTTGTTAAGTGAATTTTCCCCATTTTAGGTCTTTTCTTGCCACATATGTTAAGTGAATCACTGCAGTTGTCAAATTAGTAACACTGTTGTTAAGTGAATCTAATATCTCTGCTGACTTTGCTTGTCAGAAGGTTGCAAAAGGGAAAACATGCATCCCAGCACACTGCAACCATCATAAATGTGAGTCAGTTGTCGAGCATTCAATGTAAATCATATGACCACGGGGATGCTGCAATGGTCATAGGTGTGAAAAATGGTCATAAGTCACTTTTTTAGTGCCATTGTAACTTCGAATGGTCATTAAGTGAATTGTTGTAAGTCGTGGACTACCTTTTGTCAGTGTCCCAAATTATGATCTCTTTCAGCGCTGAATAAAATCACAGAAGGACTTGCTTTAATGCTGAGATGAACTTTCACCTAGTTCCTGGCTCTTCAGCAGATAGCGTTACTTGGGCAACAGACGGAGGGGGGGAATTCCTGTGAAAAGAAAGTGTAAGAGACAAAGAGATGGATCTGGATGGTGGCCAATGAGACATTGGGGTTGAAGAACGGAAAGGGAGGGGTTGGAAGGAGGTGCCAATCTTGGCTGCAACAGAGTTCAGGCATGTCGTTTTTTCTATTCTTAAATAAAAGAGATTCATTAGAGACTTTGCGTTTGAGAATGAAGTTTATTTAAGATAGCAACGAAACTGACACCTTTAGTCTTTGTCTAATTGATTTCAGCCTCAAGTCTATCATCATTGTGGAATGGAGCCACTTTGTTTCACTCTTCTTATTCTCTTTCCCAGCATCCACTCAACAATGTTGAATGAAGATGCAGAGTTTCCCCCAACAAACACTTCAAGCACGTTGGATGTTAATTTGGGGCGATTTGAATTTGAATTTGAAGTGTCTGATTTCTTCCTCTTTGGTTCACCTCTCGGTTTGGTGCTGGCTATGCGGAGGACAGTCCTGCCCAGTCTGGAAGGTAAGTGAGTAGCTATCTGTCAGCTGACAGATAGCTACTCTTGGCTACTTTTGGCCAAACTTTTGTCCTCTGAAGAGCACAAACTTCTTTGGGCAGACTATAGGAGGTTCAGTGCTATTTTTCGAAAATTATTTTTGAAAAGGGATTTTCCCATAAAAAGTAGTAGTTCCAACATCTCAAAATCCACAAATCTTAACCAGTTTTCAAAACAGTGATGGTCCTTCTCATGATGATGCTTTTCTTCCCACTTTTCCCCACTTGTTAAAGACTAGATTTTTATTTAACGGCAGCTGAGACCATTGCAAACATTGTGTTCGGTATCAAGATTTCTGAAATAATCCATTTTGTGGGTTCTTGTCATTCAAGCTGAATATCAGTTTTAAGAGGTCTTTTCAATTGTATAACAAGAATCAATCCATTGCCGGTGGAAATTATTCATCTGTGGACCAATCTGTGCTTTAAACACTGAAGTTTTATTTGATTTATTAATCAGGTCTGACAGAGCAGACATTTGGTGTAAAATGCCAGGCTTACTACAGCAATTAATACCATTGGATTGTTCTTTGCTTAGCCCTGGGGAAATTCTAATCTGATTTTCAAAGCGCAGTTTCCTATTTAGTTTGCTATAACAGCTTTGATTAGTGATGAAACACAGATAGGCAGGTGCTGGAATTGTCTCTTTGTGAATGTTGAGTAATGACAACTTTGTCTTGTAAAGCCAGTCTAGGCTAGAAATAATTTGTTTTTGGAACAAAAAAGAGACGTTAGAGAATGATAAAGCATTTGATAAACCTTTTCTAATTCATCATGTTTATATATCTTCATTGTTATGAACAACTCCAGTTTTATCAGTTTCACAGAATAGATAGGTTCCTTGTAAGCTTAATTTTCTTGCTGATTATTTGTCCTTAAAACTCGCTTTTATCAGCAATTCAGCACCTCGCCTTATTCAGGTCTCTTAGCAGTTCCATTTTTTAGAAATCCAATATTTTCATTTTGTTATTGTGTAAATGAACAATCATTTAAAGAGAAGAATATAGCATAATAAAGCATGTTGATTAAGTAGCTAATATCAGCAGGATGTGAGGGAGGTAGAACAATTCCTTTGCTCTAAAAAAGAACAGTGCTTCAGAAAGCAATTAATTAAGGTTGTTAAGAATTCTGTAGGAAGAATTACAAGCTTAAACTATTCAAATGCCTTCCATTTACATTGCTTCAAAGAAAGGCAAGTGGTAAGGAGGCCAGGGTCTTAACCCCTTGCCCTAGGAGGTGAACTAGCTTTGCAACCATAAAAAAATGCAAATCAAAGAATAGAAAAAGGAGAATCATACTTTCTACCCAGCTTCTCCAAGAATGTGCATTTCCTTAACTGCATGGATCCCTCTTACCAACCTCACAATTATTATGCTACTATTCTGCAATTGTCTGCTCATTTCTTGCCCAGTTATTCGGGTAAAGAAAAAAAAGATGGAAGAAGCAAATTAAAAATAGAGAAAAACTGGAGCTAGACAACAACGTTGGTTGTCATCTCTATACAATTGTATAAAGGAGATACGGTGACTCCATCTTAAAAGTTTGATTAGAAATATGGTTGAAGTCCTCTCTAGCAAGCTTATGTGCAGAAAAAAAACAGTATTGAGGTTTTTAATTTGTTGGACTGGAATTTGAATGGGACCATTATATGTTTTCTGAAAGTATGGAATTTTATTTGATATGTGTTCTAAGTATCACACCCATCAAATTGTATTCACTCAGGTGCCCACTTTCTGTGAAATCCAGCATATCAGGAGGTGGCTTGTTTGGGTACACTGGACCCTGATTTAAAGAATATTTTTTAATCTTAAGAAACAATTTGATTCAGAGATGGCTTACTAAAGTGATTGAATTTTTTTTAAACAATTGCTTTGTTTATAGGAAGAAAGAACACAGAATTCTCATTTAGCAAGTGGAAAGTATTGTTATTCATTAACATATATTTGCTTAAACCATGGGGATGGATTGGAAGGCAGAAGGCAGGACATAGCTCAGAATTGACTCCATTGTTTCCAAAGTACTTGACTCTTCTTCCATGGGAATTTTACATCTTTGGAAATCTAATGACAAGTCTGTAACTCCTTGTATTTTCTTTTTGTACTCTGAAGATATATCTAAATAGTTCATGATGACTGTGAGTCATCCTTTCTCCCTGTGTTTAGTCTGCCAAGTACATCCAGCCTGCAGTCAAGTTTACAGCCTCTTCCACTCAGCTGACCCTTCCGCCTCCAGACTGGAGCCATTATTAGAGAATAAATTCCATCTTCTGCCTCCCTGTACCGTACCAAGGTACCAGAGATATCCCTTGGGAGATGGAAGATCCCACCTCTTAGGTATTTATGTCTTTGGCTTGTACAGTTCACAACCTGTTGTAGTCATGTACCCTGTCTTCCAAGTACTTCTGCATGCCTCAGCCGTCTAGACTATTATGTAAAATGATCTTTACAGAGATGAATGAATAATAATTCTCTGCCAAGAATTGGCTTATGCTGTCTGTGGAGTTTCAAGGCACCGTCTCATGGTTTGCCCAGAAGATGACATCATATGATTTTTTTTCAATCCATGCACCTTATCATCCAAGCTTGCCTCTAGACAACATACAGTGTATACATACATCCATACATATTAGAAACTCATTGTCTTCCAGATGTGGAGTTTAATTCTCATAATACCCTAATTATTAGACTCTGGGGTGAGCCTTTCCCCCTCCCCTTTACTTGCAGGCCCTGTGTTTCACCAAGATTGTGTTTCTATGTCATGTATCCCAAAATTATGATAGCAAACTCCACTTGTTATTGTTTTGATAAGGAAAGGAATGTTTCATACTCCCTATTCATTGGCCTGGCTTTCTGAACTCTGTGTGGTTCTTCCTTCCTGGCTTTGCCCATATGATATCTATGCCCATTAGAAAACATACATGGCTGAAATAACAAATAAGATCGGGGAAAATTACCGGTATCTAAATGGCTTCATAGAGCTTAGTAGTCCTTCCATGCCCGAATGCTTATCCTGATCAATATGTCTGGTACTATTTTTCAGAAACTTTACTTGCAAAAAGATTTCTCCCTTATCTGATTCAGCTCTTTCCCACCTTACAGCTGATACACTCCAGTATCATAGCAGCCTGTTTGCTGAAGACAGTTCTGCAAAGTCATCCTTCATGCAAGAGACTTTAGCACTTCCCAATGCTGTACAAGGGAAAATGCGAAGAGGGGAGCCTGGGCAGCAGCAACAGTGAGAGCTCTGGGTCAACAGAGAGCTTATTGTCGAGCAACATAGCAAACAGTGAGTGCAATTAGCCTAGTGCAATTAACACTAGAAAGTCATTTTGGACTAGTAGTTATTGGTAGCTTTCTCCTTGGGAAGCCCTGCCTGTTTTGGGTTGGCTTACTGTTGGCAATTTGGTGGAATAACTCAAGAGAAGCCTTTGTCAACAGCTACACTTAGCTTTTGCCCCGGATCTCTCTTCTGAGGAGTTCACCCTGCTCCTTCCGGCTGATGTTATTCTCAGGTAGGATCTGTGGGGCTTCTGTGATGTGGAATAGACAAATGAAATGCCTGTTTGTTTTCCACAGTAACTTCCAAATGGTGGGGAGCCAAGCGAATAGATTATGTTTTGTATTGTCCGGATGTCCTCACAGCCTTTCCTACAGTGGCTTTGCCACATCTCTTCCATGCCAGCTACTGGGAATCAACAGATGTGGTTGCTTTCATTCTGAGACAGGTAACAATGCCTTCCTTGTGTGCTCTCCCTCTGTCTATATCTGTGGATCACAAATACAGTGTGCATCTTGGCCACAAAACTGAATTGATGGCCTTGCAGGAAATCTCTGCCTCATTTAACTAATTCAGTTGCTGCGTGGATGAAATCGGCAAGCCACCTTTCAGTGTAGAATAGAATAGAATAACATAGTTGAAAGGGACCTTGGAGATCTTCTAGTCCAACCCCCTGCTTAGGCAGGAAACCCTATACCACTTCAGACAAATGGTTATCCAACATCTTCTTGAAAACTTCCAGTGTTGGAGCATTTACAACTTCTGGAGGCATGTTGTTCCACTGATTAATTGTTCTGTCAGGAAATTTCTCCTTAGTTCTAAGTTGCTTCTCTCCTGGATTAGTTTCTACCCATTGCTTCTTGTCCTGCCCTCAGCAATGCTTTGGAAAATAGTTTGACTCCCTCTTCTTTGTGGCAGCCCTGAGATACTGGAACACTGCTATCATGTCACTCCTAGTCCTTCTTTTCACCAGACTGTGTAAGAGAAGATAAAATGCAGTTAAACTAATGAAATGCCAAAAAGATTTATGCAAATTTTCCCGTAGACAAGAACTTCTTGCAAGCAGTAAGCTGTTGTTCTAAACCTGTGGTGTACCAAGATTCATGCATTATTTTGAACTTATTTGGCAGAATGACTATGCTGAGTGCTGTTCCCATGTTTATATTTCGTTTCAGGTGATGAGATTTGAAACCATCAACGTCAAGGAAAGCAACAGTTTGGATCCAGTGACTCTCAGCCCTTCAAATCCCGAGAGAAATGGCTGCGCAAAAGGACCCAAGTCAAGCTAAGGGTACAGGATTGCCTTTTATCCAATCCCTCTATAACAGTGATGGCGAACCTTTTCCGGACCGAGTGCCCAAAGTGTGCCCCTGCATGCACCTGCCCCCCCATCAACATGCATGCGCCTGCCACATGCCCCCCCCCGTGCATGTGGGGGACCCCCCACACACACACATACACCACGCATGCGCAGCATATACCTGAAGAGCAGCTGGCGGCGGGCGGGTAGTGTGCACACATGCGCAGCGGAGCTAAACTGGGGTGACAGCTCGTGTGCCATCAGAGAGGACGCTGCATGCCACCTCTGGCACGCGTGCCATAGGTTCGCCATCATGGCTCTATAACTTAGCATGTTTCAAAGGAAACGAAGCCATTTTAAACCAGTTTTTAAAAGAAAAAGAAAACAAGAGCAGCAGTGGTTGCGCCACCAAAATGAGTTGATGCATTTTAGATTTGATTCAATTTGTTACCGCTTGATTTTTTTTTAGACAGGGCTGCCTTTAGGGTTATATCTTTTTAATTGCTTTTCTTATCTTGTATTTGTCCAAGTAGTCTATGGAAATAGAGGGCTGTAATAAAGTTTAATAATAACAATAGCAGTTGGATCAGCATTTGAAAGATAGGAAGTGATGAAATACTTTTTGTGGCCAGGTACTTTTTCAAAGATGGCAAGAAAGCCAGAAGGATTTCTGATCATCCTGTGTTGTTTTAAATATAAAAGCAACACTCGAAGCCTGAAATGGGTGCATATGAATCTCAGTGGAATTTTATTTTAATTTGTCAAAGGTGTAATTAAGGAAAGAGGTCCAGTTAGGTGTAGTGATGAAGGCACAAGGCTAGCCATGAGACCATCAGTTTGTCCCACCTTAGGCAAAAAGCTAACTGAGCGTCTTTTGGGCTACTAGCTCTCAGTCCTAGAAAGCAGGCAATGGCAAAGCACTTCCAAAATCTTGCCGAATTGCAGGAACTTGCCTAAAAGTCAGCATTGACACAAACATACACATGCAGAGTTAAGGAAAAGATCAAGAAGGCGTATCCACATATCAACATGTAAGGGCTGACTTTGGGTTGTTTCTCCTAATCTCAGATGTTCAAAACAAATACCTTTTTTCTAGGTTGGATAGTGGTTGGGATGATCCAGTCACTTAATTCCCTTCCTTGTTTCCCTTTCAGAATGTAACTTCAAACCACAGATCGAATGATGTCATTGTTGCAGAAGATGGCCCTCAGTTGCTAGTTGGCCGGTTCATGTATGGACCACTTGACATGGTGGCTTTAACAGGAGAAAAGGTAACATTCCAAGGACATCCTTCCCTCTCTCCCTCCTTCCCTGTTAAGCCATTGAAGACATGTAAGCCCTTAAGAACACGAGAAGAGCCCTGTAGCTGATCAGACCAAAAGCCAGGGGTGAAATGCAGCAGGCTCTGACAGGTTCTGGAGAACTGGTATCAGAAATTTTGAGCAGTTCGGAGAACCAGTAGCGGAAATTTTGAGTACTTTGGAGAACCAGCAAACACCACCTCTGGCTGGCCCCAAAGTGGGGTGGGAATGGAGATTTTGCAATATCCTTCCCCCAGGAGTGGGGAGGGAATGGGGATTTTGCAGTATCCTTCTTCTGTAGTGAGGTGCGAATGGAGAGTTTACAGTATCCTTCCCCTGCCACACCCACCAAGCCACACCACGCCCACAGAACCGGTAGTAAAAAAATTTGGATTTCACCACTGCCAAAAGCTCTTCTATTCTGCATTTTCATATCAACTGACCATATTCCAAACTTGTAAACTAGATATGAGTTCAATACTTCATCTCTATTGCTTCTTCTGATCCCATGGCCTGCAGTTTTCTGAAGACAAATATTTCTATAGCATTTAATTATGCCCTTCCCTCTATGAGAGGATGCTTGTAGGAAGCTGGCTTGTTCTGAATCAGATCCTTGTTCTTTGTGTCAACTCTGCTTAGAAACAGTCCACAGAGTTTCAGGCAGCAAAGTATTTATTTCTTTTGATCTGCCTGTTGGAGATATTTTAGTTAGCGAGTGAATCTCACAAGCAAAGTATGTAATTTAAAAATATAGGAGGGACCAAGCTCATGCTCTACTCTTTGCAAGATCTTTAACTGGTGATTCATATTTTGCTCTGTCTTTTATGAGATAGTCCTACAGATGTTTGAAAGTTACTATTATTTTCCCTTTATTGTTTCTTCTTCAGGATAAACATGCTGTGCTCTTTCAGCTATTTCTCATTGGATTTGGTTTCAAGGCCCCTCACCATCTGGATTGTCCTCATCTGGCACTGTCTTTCTTAAAATGTGGCACCTAGAATTGGACACATGCTTTAGCTGCAGACTGAACAGTACAGAGCAGCGAGCTTTTCTTGTGCTTCTATTAAAACCGACTAAAAATTGTCAGTGATGTCATACTGCTGAAATAGCTACTAATCCTCAAAGCTTTTGCCACAATGTTTTAGGCTTTAAAATGCTGCAAAACTAGTTTTTCTTTGAGAGACTAATATAATATCCTTCATGAACTTTGGTGTTAACTGTGTATGTGTGTCGATAGGAATTTGTTTGCCTAACCTGAACTTCTCTATTCCTGCATTTTAATTCCATAAAGGAATTTTACCACATGTTCTTTTTTCATCTTTCAGGTTGACATCTTCATTGTGACCGAACCTTCCTCTGGACGTTGGGTCTATTTTGATACAGAAATCACCAATAGTAGTGGTAGAATCTCATACAACGTCCCCAAAGAGAAAAGACTTGCTGTTGGCGTCTATCCTATTAAAATGGTAGTCAGGTAAGTCTGGAAGGATATGAATACATCCTTAAATTGTTGAGAGATTGAGGATTATGTCCTACTCTCATAAAATGTTAATCAAATTCTAGTGTTAGAGTTTTCTACAACACATGTGCTTGAGGCTGGGAGTTGATGGGGGGAATTATTTATCACGAACGAAGGCAAATACGAAGAAAAAAACGAAGAGCCTTGGTAGTACAGTGGTCTAAGGCACCCTGTTATTAAGCTGGTTATTAAGACCAGCTGCCTGCAATTACTGCAGGTTCGAATCTCGCCAAGGCTCAAGGTTGACTCAGCCTTCCATCCTTTCTAAGGTAGGCAAATTGAGGACCCAGTTGTGGGAGCAATAAGCTGACTTTGTATAAATATACAAAAGAATGAAGGCTATTGCTTAGCGCATTGTAAGCCGCCCTGAGTCTCCGGAGAAGGGCGGCATATAAATCAAGTTTTTTTTTAAAAAAAATACGTGTCCCAGAATAATGTTGTAGGATCCAATTTGGGTGGGTCAACAGGACCAGAGGTTTTGTCTTCCAAGCCTTCAGACTCGTGCTGGAGCTCATCTTCCGGGAACTTCTCTCTAGCAGACTGTATTTTGGGGTGCTCTGTGTGTGGTATTTATATGGTGCCTGTTGTATGTAGCTTTTTAGATGTTCTCTGAAGATGGGCTCCAGCACAAGTCCAAATGCTCATAAAACAAAACCTCTGGTCCTGATGACCGGTCCAGATTGAATCCTGCCAGATTATTTATTTTCAATTATAATATACTTATTTTAGGGATCACGCTCCAATTTTCATCTATTTTCATACCATACCATATCATGGCAGGAAGCTTTGGCTTCCAGTTTTACAGTTACGATCCAAGAGCTGCAAATAAGGGACTAAATGATGTTTCTTGTAGCTCGGGTCACAAATTGCCCATTGCTGTTGTAATGAATACCGTATTTTTATTACGCTATTTTAGAATCCTTATCACTCTCAGTGCCAGTTACTATTATAAAGATAAATATCACCATGAGCCACAGAAAGCAAGAATTTTGCTATTGGAATTTGGCAGTAAAAATGTCCTTCGTTATGCATGTCCTTGGGCTGATTCACTTGCAGAATGAACACGTTGACAGATCACTGCAATCTGACGTAGTCCATACGCATGTCTCCCTCTTAATAGCTGTTCCCCAGTAATGGGACATGCAAAGCTATGTGTTCACAAAAGGAAGATACAGTTTGATAGTCTTCCTCTCTACTAATACTTTCTTGGAATTTCTATATCATTTAAGTAAGCTATGACCATCATATGAAAAGCTGAAGGTTTTTTTTTCTTCTGATCTCAATATAAGGCCAAGATATGATGGCTTTCTGTTATAATTGTTTTCTATGTTCCTTCATGGTCATCAGGGGAGATCAGAGTAGTGCCATAAGCTACTTGACTGTCCTTCCTCGAGGAATGGAGTGTGTCGTCTTCAGCATTGATGGGTCCTTTGCTGCCAGCGTCTCCATCATGGGCAGTGACCCTAAAGTCAGAGCCGGAGCAGTTGATGTTGTCAGGTAAAAGGCACCTCACAATTCCATTAAGTTTTATTTTTTGTTTATTTTATTAGATTTATTATAGCCTCCTGTTCCAAGAGATTCTGGATGGCTTACAAAATAATACCAAATTAAAACAAGCCAGCTAAAACAACTATTATTAAAAAGCATAATAGTGCATATCACCATGCCCAACACATTAGCATCAGCCAGGTTTTAAGGACTTTTCAGAACCCCAAGAGAGAGGGTGTTGTCTGTATCTTGGGAGGGGGGATGTTGTTCTAGAGGATGGGGATCACAAGAGAGAAGGCATACTTCCTTGATCCCACAAGATGGCAGCCTTTAATAGAAGGGACCTGGAGTACACCCAACTCAGCAGTGGTGGGATTCAAAATTTTTTACTACCGGTTCTGTAGGCGTGGCTTGATGGGCATAGCATGGCTTGATGGGCATGGCTTGGTGGGCATGGCAGGGGAAGGATACTGTAAAATCTCTATTTCCACCCCACTCCAGGGGAAGGATCAGAGGTGAAATGCTGCCGGCTCTATCCGGCTTGCAGAAGCCGGTAGTGCCGTCTGCAGGTAGTTTGGAGAGCTGGTAGCGCCAGTGGTGGTAAGCTCCTCCCCCACCAAACCAGGACGTTATCACGTCCCAGTTTTAACCATCTGCGCATGCGCAGATGACGGCGCGCGCAGATGACATACGGCGCATGGACATCAGTGAGCCGGTAGGAAAAGTAAGTACATTTCACCCCGGGAAGGATACTGTAAAATCTCCATTCCCTCCCCACCCCACTCTCCTGCTTTTCAGCTCCATGTGCAGGGCAACAAAAGAAGACCCAGCCGATCAGCTGGAACTCGATCAGCTGGGACTTGGGAGGGAGTGAATAGAGGCGGGGCGGGACCAGTCAGAAGTGGTATTTGCCGGTTCTCTGAACTACTCAAAATTTCCACTACTGCTTCTCCAGAATGTACCTGAGAAAGGTGATCCTTCAGATAACCAAGTCCTATTCCATGAAGGGGTTTAAAGGTATCAATCAGCACCTTGAATCATACCCAGAAGCCAAATGACAGCTAGTGTAGCAGTGGTGATACATGGGCACAATGAGGAGTGCCCATTATTGCTCGCACTGCTGCATTTTGAACTAGCTGTAGCTTCTGTCTGGTCTTCAAGGGCAGCCCCAGGTAGAGTACAGTACAGTAGTCCAGTTGTGAGGCTGGCACTGCCTCCTGGGCGAGGAAAGAGCACAACTGCCACATAAGACATATCTGTGCAAGGGCAAATTAGCCAATCCAAGTGAAAATAGCCAATGGCTTCCAGACAGAATTCCTGACCTTCCTATAAAGGCAGCCCCTTTTGTCTTCTGATAAAGCAGTCAAGTGATAATCATTCCTGAAATAAAATATGCGTTGGCATATTCCTGTTAGTTGCACCTTGGCAATACCGATACTCTGTTTGGGAATAACCTTGTTACATTTTTACCACTTGGTGGCAGGAGTGCTTAGCGAAATATCCCCAGGCAAAACTTCCAGGCGCCATGAAATATTAAACTCTGAAACTACTCTTCAACTTTTTGAAGAAAATTGTGTTTCCTGTCTCCATCATATGCCCCTGACCCCTCCCTACTTTTTCTTGTGATTCTCCTGCCACCAAGTGGTCACAACAGGAGTGAACAAATTTAAAATCAAAATCTTAAGAATGGTTAAAGTAGCAATGAAAACAAATGCATAAAACAAGAAGAATTAATAATATTAACAACTTACAATCTCGACTTACAACCATTCATTTAGTGACCAAAGTTACAATGGCATTGAAAAAAGGAACTTATGACCATTTTTCACACTTTTGATCGTTACAGCACAGTCACGTGATCAGAATTTGGATGCTTGGCAACTGGTTCATATTGATGATGTTTGCAGTGCCCTGGGGTCATGTGATCACTTTTTGCAACCTTCTGACTAGCAAAATCAGTGAGGAAGCCAGATTCACTTAACAACCATGTTACTAACTTAACAACTGATTCACTTAACAACTGTGGCAAGAAAGATCATAAAATGGAGCAAAAGTCACTTAACAAATGTCTCACTTAGCAATAGAAATGTCAGGTCTCCAAGTGATGAAACCCATTCAAAAAAGAAATAGGCAAAATCCATCTTCCAAAACAAATTCCTTTTATTTCGGTACTTATCAAAAATGCAAGTAGAAAAATAGGGACCACTTTGGTGGGAAGGTAACAGTGTTCCGTGCGCCTTTGGCATTGAGTCATGCCGGCCACGTGACCACGGAGACATCTTCGGACAGCGCTGGCTCTTCAGCTTTGAAACGGAGATGAGCACCGCCCCCTAGAGTCGGGAACGACTAGCACATATGTGCGAGGGGAACCTTTACCTTTAGCTATGATACCAAGACAGGGGGAAGAGTTAATTCCTTGAAATCTGTAAAAAATGTTGGTATATATATTGTGCTATTATTTATTAAAACTATATGACGATAAATCACAGCAGGACTATGTTTCTATGGTTGCTGTTTTTCTAATAGAAGCCATCAGGTTCTGGCTTCCTCATCCCCAACATTTGACATTTTTCCTTAGAGGTACCCTAGAAGGGAGAGAAACACTTTTTAAAGTCTTACCCCAGTTGGTTGAAAAGTTGGCAGCACGTACAAACTTTTTAAACTTTTATTTTAAAGACTGTGGGAACTAAAGGAGATCCCACTTGGGAGATACAATACGGGATCTGAGAGTTGATTCCCCTAGAGAAATAGAGTGGGTTTCTTTTCTACAGCAAGGTTTATCAAATAAATGCTTATATTCTCTGCTTCTGAAAAGTAAATTTCCTTCCTTCCTTCTTTCCTTCCTTTCTTCTCTCCATCCTTTTCCTTCTTTTCTTCCTCTCTCTCTCTCTCCCTCCCTCTCATGCTTTCTTCCCTCCATCCTTTCCCTCCCTTTCTTCCTTCTGCTGTCCCTCCCTCTGTCCATCCCCCATCCCCTCCTTCCCTCTTCCCTCCCTCCCTTCCTTCCCTCCAGCCTTTTCTTTCCTCCCTCCCTCCCACTCCTTCCTTCTATTTCTTTCCTCCCTCCCTCCCTCCTTCCTTGCTTTCTTCCCTCCAGCCTTTTCCTTCCCTCCTCTCTCCCTCCCTCCGTCCATACCCCTCCCCTCCTCCCTCCCTCCCTTGCTTTCTTCCTGCCAGCCTTTTCCTCCCTCCCTCCCTTCCTCGCTTCCTTCCTTCCTTCCTCACTTCATTCCTTCCTCCCTCGCCTTCTTTCTTTCTTCCCTCCAGCCTTTTCCTTTCTTCCTTCTGCTCTCCCTCCCTCCCTCCCTCCCTCCCTCCCTCTCCCCTCCTCACTCCCTCCCTTGCTTTCTTCCCACCAGCCTTTTCCTCCCTCCCTCCCTTCCTCGCTTCCTTCCTTCTTTCCTTCCTTCCTTGCTTTCCTCCTTCCTCCCTCCCTCCCTTCTTTCTTCCTTCCCTCCAGCCTTTTCCTTTCTTCCTTCCTCTCTCCTTCCCTCCATCCATCCCCCTCCCCTCCTCCCTCCCTCCCTTGCTTTCTTCCCGCCAGCCTTTTCCTCCCTCCCTCCCTCCCTCCTTCCCTTCCTCGCTTCCTCCCTCCCTCCCTCCTTCCCTCGCTTTCTTTCTTTTTTTTTTTTTAATTTGATTTATATGCCACCCTTCTCAGGAGACTCAGGGCGGCTTACAATACGTTAAGCAATTGTAATTGCCCAGCCTTTTCCTTTCTTCCTTCCTCTCTCCCTCCCTCTGTCCATCCCCCTCCCCTCCTCCCTCCCTCCCTTGCTTTCTTCCCTCCAGCCTTTTCCTTCCTTCCTTCCTCCCTCCCTCCCTCCCTCCTTCCTCCCTCCCTCCCTCCCTCCCTCCCTCCCTCCCATGATTTAACCATACCTGGCTCGATAATTTGCTACTTTCTCATTCCACATCTCATGCAAAATCAGAAGCAACATTCATTCAGTAACCACTTAAAACACACCCTGAGAATCTTTCATTCTGCCCCAAATATCCAATTGTATATTTGGGGCAGAAAAATGATTAGGCAGTTTTACTGCCTAGTAAATGCCACATTTTTTTTTCTCTCCCCCCTCTTCCCCCCCCCAAAAAATCACTCCATATGCTGTGTCTAAAAAATAAAATAAATGCACATGCAAATAAGCCTTCCGTCATCGTGTTGGAAACTTTACAGACTTTGATTGACTCGCCCTGGGTCAAACTGAACATCTGGGGAAGAAACCCAACCTTGGATGTCATTTCGCATCCTTGAATACTCAAAACGGCTGAGCAGCTCGAAGTGGACGAGGTGAAATGAAAACATCAGGGGGTGGTAGAAGAAAGGCTGGCAAATTTTAGCATTCCCTCCAGGCAGGATTAGAGGATGTGGCTGAACATTTTGGCATATCCCCAAGTTCACAACTAGGCAGGAAGAGATAGACTGGGAAACATCGTCTAGCTAGGAGAGCCTTTGTTTTTGTTTTTTTCATTTGGTTGCTCAATCAGATCTCTACAAGGAGTGGCCAAAATTGTGGAAACCTTTTGGGAAAAGTGTATTTTCTAAAACTAGCTAATAACACCACTTTCTTTTTTTTTGGGGGGGGGGTAGTACCATAAAATTAAATATCAATGGAAAGATAATTTCCTTGGTGGCGTAGCAGACTAAAGTGCTGTTAAGTAGCACCAGCTGCCTGCAATTACTGCGAGTTTAAATCTCACCAGGCTCAAGGTTGACTCAGCCTTCCATCCTTTCGAGGTAGGTCAAATGAGGACCTGGATTGTGGGGGGCAAAAAGCTGATTTTGTATAAAAAAGAACACCGCTTGGGGGGGAGGGGCGAAAGCCCTACTAAGCAGGTATATACAAAAGTATGAAGGCTATTGCTTAATGCATTGTAAGCCGCCCTGAGTCTCCGGAGAAGGGCGGCATATAAATCGAACCAAATAAATAAATAAATAAATAAATAAATAAATAAATAAATAAATAAATAAATAAATAAATAAATAAATAAATAAATAAATTTAATCAAGAAT